TAAATAGAGAAAATGTATTTATTTGCTAATATTATTAATACATTACTATAGTTAATAGATTTTTTGTATGTACACTCTGGATGATAATAAGACATAGAGAATTTAGAATATTTTAAAATCTTAAGATATGTTCGAAACAAAATTCGAATTTTCGAACATTTATATTCTGAAACTACATAGGATAGATTAAGAAGAACCTCTATTAAACTTTACTCGGAAACCATAAGGTCCATTGTGATTCCCTTCATAGAAAGTGAAGATCCAAAGATAGAGAAACAAAATTCGAGAAACTCATGAAAAAGCATAGTTAAAGAGGATAGATGAATAGAAACGGTTAATTCAACAAGGGTTTCAAATCAAATATTTACCGAATCGATTCGTTTAAAGAAAGAAATGTGAGTGAATCTGAGTCTCCCTATAAAACCTACTTGAAGAAATGACTAATTCCCCTGATAAAACTGCTGGTATTAAGTCTTGAAATTTCCTCCAGCTCGTCATAGATCCTTAACAATCACACACAAAAAGTTCAAATCCTAGTTGCACTTTTAGTGCACCCGTCAATCTTTAAAAACAACATTAATCACTTTTTTTGAAAACAATTAAATATAATTTGATCATATTTAACAAATATGCGAAATTACTAATTTCATTTAAAAATTTTTTTATTTCAGTTTTTTGTTCGTCTTGCAATTACAAATGTACGAAAATATTTCTAGCCAGGGCATTGACTTAAATCTGCCGAGTATAATGTTTTATTAATATGCTGACGTCATCGTTAATAAAGTGAAATTCAAACATCAACATTTTATTTATTTTTCTGTGTTATTTTTGTGCTTTTCTACACTTTTTACAGATTATTTGTAATTTTCTTTACAGTATGTGATATTGTTGCCTCATTTGTTTTTTCTGTTGCTGTTAATTTGTTGTTGTTGTTGTTGTATTGCATTTTCTTATTGTAATTGTTTCTATTGCATTTTTTAGTGTAGGCTTGTGTTTTATGGCCAAATGCCAAGTGCAACAATAATAATGACAATAACAAATAAAAAAAAAAAAACAATTTCATTGACAGAAATGAAATGAAAAAAAAAAATACAAATATAACATCATGTTTTTAATTGTGAAAAAAGTTTAGATATTTGCCGAAATGTTAAAGTAAATATATATTTGCAAACTGGACTCTAACTAAAATGTTGGTTAACTCTTAATTCTTTAATTTCTTCTAAATGATCATTATAGACCTTCTGCCGTATTCATAACTTATCAAAGGTTTATAGAATTTTGTATGAAAAACTCTGTTATAAACCTTTGATAAATTGTTATAAATAAGGGCCCTTATTTAGAAAATGAGCTTCTGACATTTTGTGTATGCAAATTCCCTTGAGCAGCTCCTTTTCGTTTCTGGTCGCACGTGTAGAAAGATATTATAACTACTGGCTCTGGAAAATTCTATAATACAAGTCTACCGTTCAAATTTTGATAATCTCACACTATACCGAACATTTTCTTGTCTTTGTTCAATTTATCATTTGGATGGTTGGGATAGCTTCTCTGATGACATCCCAGTGGGAACTGCTCCGTCCGTATGACATGGTCGGACTTGATTAAGGCTGTGGCAACATTGTATTGTGATGGCGGTTTAAAACTTTTGTTGTTGTGCTCTGTTTAGACAGAATCCATGTTGATAATGAGCATCCAGATCTACATCCAGATGTTGTTGTAACAATGGGTGGCGGGAGGTAAATTGGTCTGTACGATTATTCCAGATTTGCACTTTTCCTGGTTTCAGTTAGAGAACAACCCTATTTTTTTAATTTTCAAATATGTGAACATAATTTAACACAGACACAACCCTACAAGATTCTTTGACTGACCCTATTGATGGAAAGATCCACTATTGTCAAACGTACAAATAAGTTTTTATCAAATTTTTCATATTGCCTTTTAGAACTTAACAGAGACTTTTTCCTATCCAATGACGGATAATTCCATCAATAGTTTCAGTCAAATGACCGGGAAAACAACCCTTACTGTTCTTGTAGCAGATACTCATAATATGTTGAACGAACTTTCAATGCACAATTTATACAAAAAAAATTGTTTTTAAAAATAGTTTTCTCTGGGATGGGGATGGACTTCCAATGCTTTAACATTCAGACGTCGTCAACTGTATGCGACAGAGTCGTAAATAAAAATTCATCCTCGACGTTTTCTTATGTATTCAAATTAAACATTTTCATTGGATTCGTTAAATAGACCAATAAATTAATTAAATTTTTAAATAAAAAAAAAACGAAATCCCTTCCAAACTTTTAAACCATAGAGCTTCAGGGTCTACCCTTTAAAGTCTTTAAAAAGACCTGTTTTTTACACCAAGTTTAAGATAATCCAACTACATACTTCAAATTTGAAATGTAAATTTCATACAACATTTGTTTCGTCGCAAACAATTAATTAAAAACAATAATTTATATAGTAATTTAATAAATTTTTATCTACTTACCAATTTTCACAAAATCGCTTATAGTACGGCCACCAGCAATGAGCCAACGTATCCATGAAATATTATCGGGATTATCGATCGGTGTGCTGGGATTAAAAAATCTATCCATAATGTAATTCAAATCGGGTGTTGGTCCACCACTGCAACATTCAGCCACAATGAGAGCAGCAACTTCTTTGCGTGTACGGGAACAAAATGAGGAGGTATCAAAACAATAGCTGGGAACTGCACCACCACCACTACTGCTGGCTGCTGCCGCTCCCTCAGCGCTATTAGCCGAGGAGGAGGAAATAACTGAAATTAAAGCATTTGCTCGTGAAGAGGTGGAAGGTCCAACATATGACTGTGCCATAATAGAGTCCTCAATTTCATCTCTATCCCAAGGCCCATTATGCAAATCTTCACTAAATTGAGTAACGCAGGAGCATGTGTATTGTCGTGAGTAGTGTTAGCGGCCGCCAAATTGCCTGCTGCTTGTTGTTGTTGTTCGGCTTGTTGTGGTGATAAATTTATTATTTCAATATCTTCGTTGTCATCACGTGGTAAGGGTGCACCATCTGTGGTCACCGTTACTTCTATGGTGTCGAGTAAATCATCGTCATCATCAAATTCTTCTTCTTGAGGTTCTTCCTCGCCACCACTTATAATAGCTCGATTGTTGTCCAAATTATTGTCATCTTCATCCATTTTGTTGGAATTATAATTGTTTTGGTTGTAGTGCGCTCGGTTTGTTGTTAAAAAAAGTCAAGTTTAAATGACGTTTATTTTTTTGACAGGTTTGTTTCTATTTTTCTTTTTGTTTTATTTTTTCTATTTTTTTTTTTATTTATTATTGTTGTTATTAGTTAGTTAGCAAACGGCAGTATTTTTCTTGCTGTTGTTGTTGTGATTGCTGCTTTGATAATTTTGTTGCTGCTTTGCAATGTTATTTTGTAGTGGTTGTTGTTGTTGTTGTTGCTGCTGTTGTGTATGAAGGTGACGGTTAACGTCGACGTCTACACTAACGTCAAATAATTTTAGTTTTTTTGCTGTAGTTATTATTGTTGTTGTTGTTTTATTTGGTTTAGCAGTTTTAGAACAAGTTTTAATATGATTTAGTATTTTTTTTTTAGTGGAAACAAATCAACACATCACAAAATATAAAATTTTAATTATGAAACGAAGCAATGCACTAAAGATATTCATTCGTTAATTATCGAAATATTAAAAAAGGCGTGTTCCCAGAAATGTGTAAAAAAATGACAAAATTAAGCAAAACTGGCCACGGCCGTTTACACAAGAACTTGGCTTTAATTTGAGAAGTTAAATATTTTCATTTATAATTTGCTTCTTAAGTTAAAACATTATTTTTTTTGTTACAATTTTCTTTGCTAAAAGGAAATACTCTTACGCACTGTAACTATGACCCGTTTATTTTATTGAATTTTAATTTTTGCAAAATTGGCAACGAACAAACAAAAGAATTCTTCTTTCTATTTGTTCTATTTCTATAACTCCACTTCTGATTTTATTCTGATATTTCTTTAATTTTTTTTGCACTTCTTCGCTCGTTTTTTCTTATTTCTGCTATTTGGCTCACTCAATTGACTCTTTTTTTCGTTCTCTGAATTTTTGCTTCTTCACTTCAATTTGTTTTATACCAAATTTAGTTAAAAAAAAAACTGTTTTAATTTTTTTCTGCTTTTATTCGTGTATTACCACGTTTCGGTTTTTTTCACTAGTTTTTCATTTATTTGCTATTGATTTTTAGTTTTTATTATTGTTAAGCACACTTTATTCAAGTTATTTCTATTTATTCCCGTTCAATAGCAATTTTTGCATAAAAATTTATTGAAATTGCAACGCATTTCAGTGAAATTCCTCAAACGACTTGTCTAAAGAGAAAAGGTAGGACAAACGAAGTCAGCAGAATAAAAAAAATTGGGATATTGTACATTTGAAATGTCATTCGTACGTCGGCCTTGCAGGGTTGTATTGTTTTAGTACTAAATATGAGTAGAGGGTAAAAAAGTGGAAATTTAGTGGGAATTTTTTTGTTAAAAAGGATTTTTTGTACTTTTCTATTAGAAAATATGACAAATTTTATAAATAAAATAGATAAATATTTGCGCAAAACAGTCATGATAACACATGATAGTCCTTTTTCGTCTGACCACAAAAATCGAAAATGTTTTTGTCCTATAATCAGATGCACAAGTCATAGGTTTCCCCAGTTTTGATATAGAATTGGTCATATCTCAACTATTATGAGTTTCAATCGAAATTTCTCTGAAAAACCTCTCGTTTGATATATAATATAATCTATATCAATAACCCATATATGTTTGAATGTCCCAACTCATAAAATGCGAAAGTTATGTATGTTTAAAGATTAATATTTAAGAAAATATTGATTTTTATCATATGCAATTATTCAGTTCTATTACTATTTATCGGAAATAGTCAATATGGATATCAATCGAAAGATCTCTGAAACCGCTTTCAAATCATATTTATTACGAAGCAAATCATTAATCCATTGAGAGCCAGGGACAAATTGTATCACATTAAATTTTGAATACAGTGTTTGGATAAGTGTTTGAGGGACCTAACCCATGAAATACAGGAGTTATGCATGTTTAAATATTAAATAATTTGCAATCGATATATGAGTTAACACACTGGCCTGAAAGGAGCAGAAAAATATTTTTATTATATTTGAGCTTAGAATAATGATTATGTAGTCAATATTTTATTTTTAAAATTCTTTCTTCACCTATGAGCTAGTTTTTTATTAACACAACGAATATGTATAAAAATTTCAAAAATGGTTTTCATATATGCCAATTATATTCCGATATCGTTATTAATTCATGATTTATTTACAATAAATTGATTTTCAGAAGCCGATCCGGAAAATTGTTCGTTAAATAATTTGTATATTCATTTAATTGATTTCCGAAAGTGGACCTTATATGGGAGTTATGATCTGTTATTGATCGATCCAGTTGGTCATACAATTACTATTGATATTAGATATATGTACAGATGCAAAATTTTGTGGTAATAGCGATATTCTAGAGGGAGTTATTAATCCATTTTTAGAGTATATGAATTTTTGCGGGCGCATCGATTCTAATAATTTTGAACCATGTGACAAAATATGTTGAAATAGTTAATAGAGTTTTTTAAGAAAGCTAATCATGATTTGTTTAGGGTTATTGCTCATATCACCATTATATATGGAACGATTTTATTGATTTTAAATCGGAAACTTCTCGAAAGAACTTGTGACTTAATTTTCACGTGTGATAATTAAGGTTTATTTTTTAACCGGTATTCTGCCCATTAAAATTATTTTATAAGAAAACTTAAAAAATAACAAATATATGTATAATTTTAACTTCTGGTGGAAATGATGTCAATAAAACGACGAATATTTTACATCATTTAGTTCAGAATTTTCTTTTTTCAATTAAAATATATCATATTCTATGAAATTTTCATAAACTCCCCTTTTTTGTAGTATGAATACCTGGCAACACCTATAATTTAACACAATCCCACAGATTAAAAACACAAAAATCTGTAATTTTACAGGTAACATAAAGATAATCCCTTAAAACAACCACAAAAAATCCAAAACAAATGATGGTTATTTCAATACAAATAAATTTGGTATTGGTACTATTTTTAATCCCCCCAGAAGGCACCTGTCGGCACACACTTAATGAGCAACACTGTAAATTTGCAAAACAATAACAAAACACGAAATAAATTGTTTTGACATTTTGTTTTCTTCTCTGTTTTCACCTGTGCGTTTTTCAATTTTGCCTTTTTTTCTCTTTTTTGTTCTTAATTATATTTTTTCGAGTTCTTTTCTTAAGAAAATTTCACCGATAATCTTTTTGGTTGATTACACTTTATAATTTAACGTATATGTTTCATATATTCATTGCATAAACGTTTTTTTATTATTAACAATTTGTTTACTTGTGTTTATGTTAAGGAATTTATTTAATACTTTTTATTGTTTATCCAATTTTGTGTTGGGAAAAATTGATGTTCTTATTCGTACACGCAAAAAAACTGAACTGAAAGAATTTTTGTAACGAAATGTAATAGATTAACAGTTGTTTATGAAAAGAGAGCAAGAGACAAAGAGAATTGTCAATGAATAAATTGACACAGTTGTAAAAATTAGTAGTAGGTGAATGAAGAAATTTACTGTTATAATTAAGATATTTAAAATTAAATAAAAAAATATTTTAATGAATTTGAATGGAGAGAAAGCGCTGAAAATAACAGTTGTAAAATATTGGCAGTAGATTTTATCAATAATAAGGATATTTAAAAATATTGCGAAGTTAAAAAACATTTTAGTTTAGTATTTTTATATTTCTTTTACTAACTACATACAATAACATTTTTTTAGAAACTAAATTTATAGGTTATAAAGAAATTTCGTTACAAATGTATTTAACTAATATTTTATTTGAAATTTTTTGTTAGTAAAAATCTTATCTAAAATCGTTAGGTACATGACAACACTTGATATTCACTTTAAAATTACGAGACCACATAGCCACCTGAAATTAAAACAATATTTATTAAATTAATTAACAGTAATTAAGAAAAAATGGAAATCTATATTAAAAGTAGTAAATATTTTAACTTACCTCATAATCCATTATATTATCGCAAAAACTTAGATCCATTAATTGCAATTTTTTACATTTTTGTAAAATACTTAGAAATTTATAAAGAAAAGAAATGATAGTTTATAACTTTTGAATAAATAAATTTAAACTTACTCATAATATTTTTCTTTGGATATACCCAAAACACCCATTAGATCTAATTGTTCCAAGTTGGGACATAAATTTGCAATATATTCTAAATCACGATCGGTTAAACCACGAACAGCAGCTAAAAACAATTTCTTTAGTTTGGGACATTTCGTTAAAAATTCCTTTAAACTATCGCCCCAAAGTAGCCTCACGTAAACTAGAGATTTTTTTAGGATTATATAACAATTAGGGGTTTATAAAGTTTGATTCAACTTACCACCAACCGAAATCCACTTCTTCTAAATCATGACATTCCGATAAGGCAATTAGACCATGAGCGGACAGAAAATGTGCCTTCCATAAATCCAAGGATACTAATTGTTTATTATACTGGGAAATATGTAAAGCAACATCATCCATATTAACAGCTACATTGCAAAATGCTGAAAAATAAAAAAATAGATATATAGATGGACAAATAGATAGATAGATAGATAGATAGATAGATAGATAGATAGATAGATAGATAGATAGATAAATAGATAGATAGATAGATAGATAGATAGATAGATAGATAGATAGATAGATAGATAGATAGATAGATAGATAGATAGATAGATAGATAGATAGATAGATAGATAGATAGATAGATAGATAGATAGATAGATAGATAGATAGATAGATAGATAGATAGATAGATAGATAGATAGATA